CTATAGCTATCTTAATTCCTTCTGAAACCATTAAAACCAAAACACACTACTGCCCAAGAGCATGTGTGCAGGCAGACACACACACACACACACACACACACACAGAAAAAACAAGTTTAGCTGAGCTGTCGTCTAGCCAGAGTAAGGAGAATTTCTGATAATGGGGACTAAAGAGAAACGCAATCACTTTTAAGATTCCTCATTATTTTATTATATTAATTTATCAAAGGCCAACTCAATGAAAGCATCTTTGATACAGGCGCTATGTACCAACACGCATTAAGTTTCCTCATCTGTAAAATGGACACAATGCCTTCAGAACGCAAACAGCATGCAGAAATAACACCAGAAAAATGCCCTGTTCAATTGTAAGTCACTTCCCCTATCAAGCAATACTGCTAGGACAAGAATGTAAAACTGGGATAAAGTATCTGAAACACGCAGTCAGCGAATCCTTGGCTTCTGCCTGATTCTTCTAGGTTCTTTTCTAAACTGGGGTTCTTAATGACTAATCATCATTTTTCCTCCCTGAAAGAAGAGTATCACCCAACATACAACCAAGTAGGCCTGGAGTGATGCACAGCTGTTGTGCCAAGCCTACTGATTGTTAACTAGCCCCAGCTGCTGACTCCCGTGGCCTCTATCCTTCTAGGAGCTACCCTCACCAGAGAGACACAGGAGTTACTGATCTTGATTTTCCTGGTTTCCAAAGGAGGAAACACGAGGAAACTCCTTCAGCACAGCGGTTCTCAATCTTGGCTACACATTAATATCACTTGCACACTTTATATAAAAATTTTAGATGCCCAAGTCACAGCCCAAGCTGTGTATATGTGATATTTAGGAGTGGGAGGCCAGGGACCCCTTTGTTGAAAGTCTCCAAGGATATTCAGGAGGAAAGCAAGGCTGGAACCTATCGACTAGGATCACCGTTCTTGACCTCAAATGACTTCCACAACCACCCCAGGAAAGCTAACCCAGTGCTGCAGAGCTGTGACTTCGAACAACGCAGGTACAAGGAGGTCCCAAGCACTGCGCGGCGCAGGTGTCTGCGCTGGGATCCACACGGAGGATCTCATGCACCAGATTACCCAGCTCCTTGAAGGAGAGCCATTTTTTACTAACAGTTTGCATATCAACGGAAATAAATTAGCCACTCTTAAGGGGTTCGACCAGAGCCTCAATTTGCCTCTGACCACTAGATATTTTTCTTCCTTTTAAAAAGAGTAAATGTCTTGGGAAGGAAGGAGACTGTGGCCAGAGGGTCAACCACACCACGCACAGGGCGGCGCAGAGGCGCGGGCCGCCCCCGCGGGCTCCCCGGGCGCAAGGCGGGCGGTGCGCGCGGCCGGCCACTGCACCTGCCGGCCGCACCTGCCGCACGGGCCCGCGTCCCCTCCTACCTTCCAGCAGCTCGTCCAGGCTGGTGACCTTCCTGCTGCCATCGATGGTGTAGATGGTGCGGACGCCCTGGGGCAGGTTCACGTTGTCCGACAGCGAGCGGGTGAGCTCAATGAGGAGCGCGTCGAAGGACCGGAAGCGGTCGCTGGAGATGGCAAAGACCAGGCCTTTGAAGTAGCGGTCCCCATTCCGGTAGAAGCGCGCCTTCTTGGCCTTCTTCTCCGAGCTGAGGGCCTGCAGGGTCCGCGTGCGGTAGAAGCTGCAGTGGGCGCTGTGCGCCGGGCTGGGGATGAGCCCGTTCCCCTTGGGGCCCGAGCCGCCGCCGCCGCCCCCCGAGGAGCTGGGCGCGCCCCTCCGCGACCCCGGCCTCGGCCTTTTGTCGCGTTCCTCGAAGTGCTCGAGCTCGATGCTCCTGGCGCTGGCCATCGCGGCGCTGGTGGCGGCGCTCGGCGGACGCGGCCTCACATCCCGCCCCGCTCGCCCGCTCGCAGGTGGAGCCACCCGGCGGCTAGGGGCGGCCGCAGCCTCCCGCAGCCCGCCTCATTGTCCGCGCCGCTCGCGCCGGCC